GGATTTCCACAGATCCAGGAGCAGCAGGAAAGAGAGCCAAGAGGTGATGTAATGCTTAGAAACAGAGCTATAAAAGGAGGTCCAAAACAAGGTGAAAATCACTTGTTACATGGCTTCATGTCAACTCGGGTCTCTGTTCTGGTAACAGAATGGGACTCTACTTTGCATCCATCTCTGAACCTCTCCGCTGAAACTTTTCTTTTCTAACTGCTGTCTATTTTTGTTGAAAATAAACATGTTGGTAAAAGTTCAAGCTTTTTTATTTGGCCTAAGTCTTGATTTTTTTACACGGCACTGTCTTCAGTAAATTTAAAAAGATATGTTGCTTTTTGTAGGATCAACAATTTGAAAAGTACTTTTTACTTTTGATACTCATGAACTTTTAAACCCAGATCCTTTTTCAATTTTACTTGAGTAGTATTTTACTGGATGACTTTTATTTGAGTAACATTTTAGTGTGGTATCTGTACTTTTACTTAAGTAGGAACATTTAGTACTTTTCCCACCACTGAACAATGGTTATTCTACAAGAGGAGCTGAATTCCATCAGTCCTCTGAGTGTTTCTGATTTATGCACCACTGATGAACTGAAAAGTTGCCACAGATTTTCCTCAATGTTACTGAGAAAAAATAAACCCTTTCTTTTTCAGCTTCAAATATACTTCTAGATAGTTTATGCCTAAATTTAAGTCAGTTTTAAGTCTAGTGGGGTTCGTCAATTAACAGTAACAAATATGTTTTGGTGTGCTTCTGTGTTAGTGGTTTGTCCTGCTGTCACTTCCTGTGGTGAAGTCCGCCCACCTCAAAGAGAAACAAGCAGACAGTGAAACGGTTTAGTAAAGTTTAAAATATTTCAAAATGTCTGCAAGTATTCTTGCTGCACCGGATTCAAGCTTGAATGTGAGATATTCAAGAAGAGTTCATGAGAACAGAGGAGCAAGTGGAGTGGTGGAGATCTCAGAGGCTGAAGAGCATCACGCTGATCCTGGGTCACAAAAAGCAAGTAAGTCTGAAATTAAAAAGTTAATGTGCATTTTTGTGTAGCTATATATATGTAAGGAATTTAGTTTTTAATTCAAATTAAAATAATTTCAGTTTGATAACACAACAGGTGTATGTCCATGTATTTTTTAAAAACTTGACTTTCATTTATTTTGTCCGAGAGACTTTTTGGGAAGCACAATAAAGCTAGTCAACACAGGTTCATGCTCCTGTCGCTCTGTGTAGAAGAGGAAGGATAATTCTGCACAATCCATACAAAGTCCCAAATATGTTTAATCTTAATAACAGTCACATGTAGTGTCACTCTCTCTGGACTATCATCATTGCTTGCAGTGTAGCTCACTTTGTTTAGTTCCAGCGGACCCTAAACTAAACAAAACAACCAGCTGCAACAGGAAGAGGACAGTATACACTGCTCAAAAAAATAAAGGGAACACTTAAACAACACAATGTAACTCCAAGTCAGTCACACTCCTGTGAAATCAAACTGTCCACTTAGGAAGCAACACTGATTGACAATCAATTTCACATGCTGTTGTGCAAATGGAGGTGGAAATAATAGGCAATTAGCAAGACACCCCCAATAAAGGAGTGGTTCTGCAGGTGGTGACCACAGACCACTTCTCAGTTCCTTTGCTTCCTGGCTGATGTTTTGGTCACTTTTGAATGCTGGTGGTGCTTTCACTCTAGTGGTAGCATGAGACGGAGTCTACAACCCACACAAGTGGCTCAGGTAGTGCAGCTCATCCAGGATGGCACATCGATGCGAGCTGTGGCAAGAAGGTTTGCTGTGTTTGTCAGCGTAGCGTCCAGAGCACGGAGACGCTACCAGGAGACAGGCCAGTACATCAGGAGACGTGGAGGAGGCCGTAGGAGGGCAACAACCCAGCAGCAGGACCGCTACCTCCGCCTTTGTGCAAGGAGGAGCAGGAGGAGCACTGCCAGAGCCCTGCAAAATGACCTCCAGCAGGCCACAAATGTGCATGTGTCTGCTCAAACGGTCAGAAACAGACTCCATGAAGGGGGTATGAGGGCCCGACGTCCACAGGTGGGGGTTGTGCTTACAGCCCAACACCGTGCAGGACGTTTGGCATTTGCCAGAGAACACCAAGATTGGCAAATTCGCCACTGGCGCCCTGTGCTCTTCACAGATGACAGCAGGTTCACACTGAGCACATGTGACAGACGTGACAGAGTCTGGAGACGCCGTGGAGAACGTTCTGCTGCCTTCAACATCCTCCGGAATGACCGGTTTGGCGGTGGGTCAGTCTGGAGAAGCATATCTTTGGGGGGGGTCACACAGACCTTCATGTGCTAGCCAATGGTACCTTGACAGCTGTTAGATACACGGATGAGATCCTCAGACCCCTTGTGAGACCATATGCTGGTGCGGTTGGCCCTGGGTTCCTCCTGATGCAAGACAATGCTAGACCTCATGTAGCTGGAGTGTGTCAGCAGTTCCTGCAAGAGGAAGATATTGATGTTATGGACTGGCCCGCCCGTTCCCCAGACCTGAATCCAATGGAGCACATCTGGGACATCATGTCTCGCTCCATCCACCAACGCCACGTTGCACCACAGACTGTCCAGGAGTTGGTGGATGCTTTAGTCCAAGTCTGGGAGGAGATCCCTCAGGAGAACATCCGCCACCTCATCAGGAGCACGCCCAGGCGTTGTAGGGAGGTCATACAGGCACGTGGAGGCCACACACACTACTGAGCCTCATTTTGACTTGTTTTAAGGACATTACATCAAAGTTGGATCGGCCTGTAGTGTGGTTTTCCACTTTGATTTTGAGTGCGACTCCAAATCCAGACCTCCATGGGTTGATAGATTTGATTTCCATTGATAATTTTTGTGTGATTTTGTTGTCAGCACATTCAACTATGTAAAGAAAGGAGTATTTAATGAGATTATTTCTTTCATCCAGATCTAGGATGTGTTATTTTAGTGTTCACTTTATTTTTTTGAGCAGTGTATAAACAGCACTATCATATTGCTGTCCTCATGACTGTTGGTCAGTATGATGTGTTGTCAGACACTTTATACTCAGGAAACAGGTTTCATCCTTGTATGTTGTTGGGGACAGCAGTTCACTGAAATGCTGGTGTTGTGAAAATGAGTCAAAACTGCTGGACTGATTATACTGACTATTGGATGTATAATACAGTCAGCACGCAGATAGGATTCTTGACTTTTAAACAAAGTATAGCGGCAGATCATTCTTTACATTTACATTTATTCATTTAGCTGACGCTTTTATCCAAAGCGACTTACAATTGCTATATATGTCAGAGTTCGCACGCCTCTAGAGCAATTAGGTCAGTGTCTTGCTCAGGGACACAATGATTTGGTGGTGTTGGTGTGTTTATTATGTTGTTGTGCTTCTCACCAGATATTACAGTCACTTTGGAAAAAGACCATCTGCAGACCAGATACGACAAACTGTACAACAACTACAGCGAGCTGCAGGGACAAATTTCAGGTAAAAAATGATGCTTATTAAGCATCAAGACATGGCAGTCAACAACAGTCAGTTACAGAGCAGTTATGAAACCCGAATAAGTAAAAAGCACAGTCAGTTAAAGGATGAAGAAAAAGCAGCTGAAGAACAAAAGCAAAGTTGATTGGACACCAGTATTATAACAATTCACTTGGTATAACGTGCCATAGCCATTAAGTTTAATTATATATTGTTAATTCTATTTATCTGTTTTGCTATGTGTTTATTTCTGTTATAAATGAGATACAAAACCTGAGAGTATTCACAGAGTAAACAACAAGTGGTATTTCAAGTGATGCCATGAAATACACTGCAAGTTCAAAATCTTTCCTCTACATTGTATAATTTGTTAACAAAATGACTTAAGAAAGGTCAAGGGCTGGATTCAAAAATTACACAGACTGATCAAACTTGCATGTCTTTCATCACGGGAACTCATAATGTGACTCAGTAGTGCATCATCCAGGAACTGCCTACACACGGTCCTGCACAAGGAGGAAACCAGAGCCCACAGCTCTGAGGATCTCATCCCTGTATCTAACAGCTGTCAAGGTACCATTGGCTAGAACATGGAGGTCTGTGTGACCCCCCAAAGATATGCCTCTCCAGACTGACCCACCGCCAAACCGGTCATGCTGGATAATGTTATAGGCAGCATAACGTTCACCGCGGTTTCTCCAGACTCTTTCATGTGTGTCACATGTGCTCAGTGTGAACCTGCTCTCATCTGTGAAGAACACGGGGCGCCGTGGCAGACTGTGAGCACAGATGTCTGTCTCTATAGGACCGGGCCCTCATGCCACCCTCATAGAGTCTGTTTCTGACAGTTTTGACAGAAATAAGCACATATGGATGTGTCATCCCAGAGGAGCTGGACTACATGTAAAACCTGAATAGGCTGGTTGCATAAGGCAGTAGTCTTGCTACCAGTATTGACAATGAAACGAACAAAACTAGAGAACAATCTGTCAGGGTGGATAAGGAGAGAGCAATTATCAGTGGCCACCACCTGCAAAACGATTTCCTTTTTGGGGGTAGGTCTAGCTTTACTCTTCAGTGAACCTGTTTTCACTTTCATTTGCACCAAAACAGGTGACACTGATTCACAATTGTCGTGGAAATTGTATCTTGCTGGTGAGGGATTAGGCAAATAATTGTGTAACAACTAACCGTTGTCTTTGAAGAATTTATTAACAAAAGAGAATAAACAGAGAATTACTAAAACACATATACAGCTGGTCCAGAGACCTGCCGCCTAGGGCAGCTTTGGGTGTCTGGGATGCATAATCACTTACACAGTCTAGGTTTCTATGTTATGGGGAACAGAGATCCTCTCTCAGCCTTGAATGAACATTCCACGAGAGGAGAGGAACAACAAGATGGGAAAACACCAAAACAATCTCACAGCTCTGACCTGAACCCTAGTAAATGTGGACAGACTAACAGTAATAATAGTAAATTTAAAAAGTCAATAGTAAAAGAATATACATAAAAGATTAAATGTAAAAAGGCCACAATTTTCTGCCATAACAACAATCGCTTATTCTTCTTTTTAATCTGGACAGATTGATATTCAACTGACTTGAAGTTATACTGTGTGATGTTATATGATTAAGTGTTGCCATAATTTATTTGAGCAGAGTTATGTCTTTAAAACACTTGTTTTTAAAGCTTGTTTCGCTTCATGAAGGAAAGCGGTGTCCTGAAGGATGGGAAAGATTTGGATGTAGTTGTTACTTTAAATCCAATGAGAAGAAAACTTGGTCTGACAGCAGATGGGACTGTCAAAGTAGAGGATCAGATCTGGTGATCATAAACAACGTAGAGGAACAGGTGAGTGTGTTTGTTACTGAGTGAGAGATCAAAGATGCCAGTGATCTGTTTTTAACTTGCTGTCAGTTGGTCCATCTTGTATCCTTCTTTTCTATAGCTCCATTGTTCTCATCCTTTGATCGAGAGGTTCAGGCTGTTGAGCATGTTGAATACGTCTGCAAGATATGCCAATTTGACTACAAACGCCGCGTCACAAAACAACTCGGCAATGTCGGGTTTGTGCTCTTTCATGCGGGTCTGTTTTGAGCGGTCATGACTCTCTGCTGTTGTGGGTCTGACTTTCTGGCAGTTTTGCTGTGACCTCTGAGTACAAAAGTCGTCGTGGGGTATGGGGCACCCATCAATTTGTATAATGAATTTGATTTATCATCATCTACAGACAGCAGACATCGGTTAAATAAGCAAGGATATTGTAAGCATTGTAAGATTTTAGTTTACTGAAGCCCGCACCTGCGCTGTACTGGGTTATCTTTTTGACCTGGAAAACAAAATGATTGACCACCCCGGTTGTCACTGTATAATTCTCACCCCGTGTGTAAGTTCTTTCCTAAATAATTTTGTAAGGGTGACACTAGTGGCATAGTAACTACTAGGTAGTTTGTAACTAAATAAGCTACTAAAATTTGTTGCACCACAATAACTTGGGTTAGAACCTAACTAGTTTGGACGTAAAGTCATAACTAAGGCAAGTGGCCAATCACTGATGAAAGATGGAGTTCCATAATGTGTGCAATACTTTTCTGGATGGCACAGCCACTTTGCATATTAGCACAATGTGGTAAGTTAGATCAACATTGAAATATCATATCATTAACATGTCTTTATTGGATTAAAGTGGTGCAAAATGATATGCAAGTAATGAAAAATACTGTGTGGCAAAAAGCTGTTTTATCATTAGTGAGTATAATTCTGTGATGTCTTATGATTTACACCAACCCCGAGGCATGTTTAACTATTTAGTTGTCACGTACAGTTATTTTGTAACTTCTCTCTGTAGTGCAACCAACTTTTATTTAGTAATGCATAAATACAACTTAATATTTTTATTCATTACACTTTCATCAGCAAGAATAATGAGATACTTCCTTCAGTTCAAAGTTTGAAAGCATCAAAATAAGGGATGAACTGCACACATTTTTAAATGAAGATGTGAAACATGCTTTTAAGTGGCATTGTTGTAATCCTTAATAAAGTCGCAAGAAAACGTATGAACACTGGAATTTTCCTGGATTTCTGCAGAATTGTTCATGAAATGTGATTTGATCTTCATCAGGTCACAACAATATAAAAACACAGTCTGCTTAAACTAATACTGAATAAACAATTATATGTTTTTTGTTTTTACTGAACATACCATGTAAACATTCAGTGCAGGGATAAAAAAGTACGTGAACCCCTAGGCTAATGACTTCTCTAAAAGCTAATTGGAGTCAGGAGTCAGCCAACCTGGAGTCCAATCAATGAGACAACATTAGAAGCGTTTGGTTAGAGCTGCCATGCCCTATAAAAAACATACAACAATTTTTATTTTGCCATTGCCATGAAGCATTGCCTGATGTAAACCAGGTCTCAAACAAAAGAGCTCTCAGAAAACCCAAGATTAAGAATTGCTGACTTGGATGAAGCTGCAAAGGTTTACCAAAGGGTCTCTAAAAGCCTTGATGTTCATCAGTCCACGGAAGACAAATTGTCAATAAATGGAGAAAGTTCAGCACTTTTGCTTCTCTCCTTAGAAGTGGCTGTCTGGCAAAGATGAAAGGCATCATGCTCAATGAGATTAAGAAGAATACTGATATATGCACCACGGATGAACTGAAAAGTTGCATTCAGACATTTCAGACATCATAAATGTACCTACAATAGAATTACTGAATTATAAACAGATAAAAGATTTTATGTCTCCCTGTCAACTACTAGGAATTTGTTGTAGAGCTGGTGAAGAGTATGAACTGTGGAGACTCCTGGATTGGTCTACGGGTCATACAGGAAAATAAGCCAACAAGATGGGAATGGGTATGGGTGGACCACTCGCTGCTGACAGAAAAGTGAGACGTTTCAAAAGTTTTTTTCTAGCACATTTGTCACTAACAAACGTCTTTTAAACAACCCGTTCTCACTTCCTGACTCGTCACATATGGACGCATGGTCAATACCCATCTGCGTCGGTTTGTAACGGACTGGGTATCAGTACAGCGTCATAGTTCAACGCAGAGGGGGAAGTCCTGTAGTATCAGTTTTTGATGGTAAAGATAGGTATATGATATTTAACAGAAAAGACTGATTAAGGAGGTGGTTGGGGTGGATGGCGGGCCAGAACCCTGACTTTGAACCAGGAGAGCTGTGTTCATGTCCAACGTGTAACAAAAAGTCAACATTAAATATTTTTATTTAAGTCAGGCAAGTTATTGAATTGCGTGTTAACTGATGTACATAGTTATTTTAACCCAAACCATGATCTTTTCCTAACCTTAACCAAGTAGTTTTGTTGCCTAAACCTAACCAAATTGCAAAGTATCACAACTTCAATAATCAGTTTCAAAATAGCATAGCTTTTTATTTTTTTTTTTATTGTTGCTAACTTTAGTGGACGTGTCATATTTGTTGTTGCTAAGCGTTGCTAAATTGACCGGGAGTGAGAATGTGTTGTTTTAAAAAGTAGAATGTAAACAAATGAAAAAAAGATCAATGCAGATTACATCAATTTACAAAACTGAATTATGTGTTTAACTGCTAATAATATTTGAAGTGAAATCCAAAAGCTTACTACAAATTGAAAATAATCAGGAGTGACAACAAATAACAACCTGTATTTGTCCTATAGGTTCTGGGCAGCAGGATCGCCACACCAGCAAAGAAACCAGTACCCTGCAGCATGCTGCGATCAACAAGGAAAATGGACACAGAGTATATACTCTGATCATAAGAACTGGATCTGTGAGAAAAATATTTCTTGTTTTCCTTGATGACAGAGAGGTGTGTAGGGAGGCCGAGGGCTAATGAGTGTCAAGATGACTGGATGAAACGGAAAAGATCCTGGACTACATCAGGAAGATGGCCCCCATATATGAAGGGCTTAGTGAGTACCTCAGGCAGCAGAAACCCAAGAGTGAGGACAAGGAAGACGAAAAACCTTCATGGAGACACAAGCCACTGCACGGCATGTACCACAGACAAATAGAAGTCTCTCTCTCGCCCTCTATGTATATAAATAAAACATATATGATGCATCTAATCCAACTTGACTTAAAAGAAAATTGAATAAAGGAAGATACCTCATACTCTGAACAAAATTCCTTTTATTGTGGCCAGCCTAAAGCACACCTGTGCAATACCCATGCTATCTGATCAGCATCTTGATATGCCACACTTATGAGGTGGATGGATGATCTCTCAGATTTTGACAGATTTGTGAACAATATTTGAGAGAAATAGGCCTTTTGTGTACATAGAGAAAGTCTTAGATCTTTGAATTCAGCTTGTGATGAATGGGGGCAAAAACAAGAGTTGCGTTTATAATTTTGTTCAGTGTGTTTATCTCTGTTATCAGACATGATCTGAAGTATACAAACAAACAAACAAAAGCAACTTGATGGTAGGCCACCATCTGTGCATTATGGAGGGAGATACACATTTTGGCAGACTGCATGTCCAGCCTGGTAGGACCAGTACTGTAATCGCTTTTTGTGTATGAAAAGTGCTATTTAAATGCAATGCATTATTAAATGATTATAATAATTAACCCTTTAAGGAGGGGGATTTAGAACAATTTCCAGCAATATCCAAAGGCTATCATTACGTGGTCAGACTATCGCAAAATAAATGTTTTCTTTGCGAGGGAAAATATATAGCTGTCTTTGTTTAGAGATTCTCAATTCAGTGCATTGAATAATACAAAGTTTGATAACATGAAATGTTAGGATACAAAAGAATAATAGCATTTATTTTGACAGATAAGCGTGTTAGCTTTGTTCGCAAAACATTGTTGACAGAACAATACAAAAACCATAGATTAAACAACCCACCTGTTATATTGTTCATTTACTTTGGTGTCAGAGGTCCGCCTTCACCGCTGAATGAACACACGCTCCCACGGCTGGGGGAACACAGGCCAGTTTAGCCCCTTTTCCACTGCACGGTACCAGCTCTACTCGCCTCGACTCTACTCGCCTTTGTTTGGTTTTCCATTGAGGGGTACTATCTCTGGGTGCTATCTGCAATGGAAATGGAGCACGGTAGGCCTAAACAGAGTCAAGTCGAGGCGAGCTGAACTGGTACTGGTAATAGAAAAACGGCTTTTGACAATAGAGAATACAGTACAGAAGTGGTTTTCTTGCCAGCTTTGGCTCTTGGCACTGTAGGGCTCAGCTAGGACCACTACCTGCCCGGCTAACTGATCTAACTAGCTACAGATACAGACGCAGTTAGCACTTTCACTGACAGCCTAAATTCAACCTTGTTTAAAACCTAGACCCATAGTCAATGTCTATTAAAGAGGTGGTATTATGGTTTTAGGCTTTTTCCTCCCCCTTACAGAGTTATATTCCTTTTTTGTGCATGTAACAGGTTTGCAAAGTGAAAAAGCCCAGAGTCCAGCCCAAAGGGAGTTCCCATCTCCTACAGAAAACTCTGCTCTGAACTGCCTGAAAACAGCTCGTTTGTAGTCCAGGCTTTACTTCCCTTTCTTGTGATGTCACAATGAAAATACGTGTCATAATGCTCGCTGAGCGACTAGTCTGAAACGCCCTCAAAAACACCGGTGGAAAAACCGTGAGCTGCAGCACACAGCTCTCCTCTCCCTCCAAACACTAGCTACCCTCCAGGCAGTCAGCGGACATTAAGTTTTTCCTGTGATGTAGAGACAGAGCTCAGTTAAAACTTTATGGATGAAAGATACTTTTGTTACAGATTAATAACTTTCTATGCTTCTGATTGGCTATTACCGGCCTTTCGCTGACCTGCCCTGATTGGCTCGTAGTCCTTAACAAGGAACTGCGCATGTGCAACTCCCAGCAAAGATCATTTAGAGACAAGATGTATCACTCCACAGCTAAAACGAATCCTTCAACACGGTGAAAAGAGGAGCTGCAGCAATGTGCAGTATGACAAAAATATGGCGTTTTTTGAAATTTAAACCATGTAAACCTGTTCTGGTACAATCCCTAAACAGGATTATGAACCTGAAAATGAGCAGAATACCACGTCTTTAATAGACACGACCACTATCTAACGACCACATATATATGTCATATATAGGTGGTCGTTCAATAGTGTAATAGTCTAATTGATGACTAGTCTATCCTTAGGCTGCGGTTACATGTCTATTAACTTTTCACTGACTTTGTTTTAGCCTAGACGTCTGGGCTGTCTTGAGATGGCTATTACAAGTCTTTTAAATGCAAAATTGCTTGCAGGTTTATAGTTCAGTATAAGGAACTTGCAGTCTACTGCTCCACCACACGAGGGCACCAACATATTCATATTAATCCTCTGTTCTGCCTTGTTCACTGAAAACTGATCATGGTGAAAAAGCAAAGAAATTGCCTACACAAAAGAAAATGTGTTTTCTTCAATTAGGAATAAAAAGAAAAACACTTCACTTTCTGAGAGTCTTCCTCTGTAGTGTACATACGAGACTAAGAAACTAAATATAAAAGCTCAAAAGCAGTGACAGTCCATAATTCATTTTATCTTTCCAAGCACATGAACTGCACGAATAATCTCATATCAATAATTCCAATATAGTCATAGTGGCAGGTAGGAGTGAATGTAAAAGCGGAAGACAGGCCCAGGTCCATAGCATTTATTATTCTGCAAGGAACATGGACAAACAACAACACTGGATCCAATCAATGGATCTATGAGAAACAATTTTTTTGAGAGTTCCTTTTGACCTTGGTGGCCAACATGTGTGCCGTGTACCTGTGATATAATGAATACATATAATGTTTGAATCTTGCCAAGGACCTTTGTTTCACAGCATTTCTATCTCTCGTTTCCCATGGGTCTTCCTGTCCTCACTTAAAAACTACATAAGGGCGTCAACACAACATTTTCTTGGACAATCTGGATTGACAGACAGATGCTCTAATAACTTGGTCCAAACAACTTATGAATTTTATAAACTGTCTTAGGTTTATGATTGGCATTTTTACTTCATTAAACATTACATTACAAAATTGGCTTTAGTTTATCTGTGGATACAACAATTTCCTGTTTTGGTCAAACTAACTAAAGTAACAAAAATCACAACACCGGATCCAGAAGAGTCAAATGAATAAAAAGTAAGTATGTCATTTTTCTCTGCTGAAACCAGACAGAAGCAGAGACAATTAAAATTGACAGCAGCAACAGTACAGGTTATTACATTATTGAAATATATCATAGTTAGTACTGCAGTGTATGCTTTCACACATTCAAGTATCAGCAGCATAGTAACCAGTCAACATAGTGAACAGCAGCTGCACTTCACTTTATGTAAATGCAAATGTCTCAGTGCTCTCAAGATGTAGCTGTAGCCTATTATAGGCTAACATTACATAACTTTTACCTGATAGGCCTTCATCTAGTTTAGTGGGGATGCTGTGCCATGCGAATTCCCTCCTGTTGATGTCCTATTTAGTAAACATTAATAGATTCTGGAAACTTCCAATGAGTTGTGCTGCGCATCGCGTACAAAAATTTCAAGACAATTCAACTTCGGCAGTGGGCGGTTGTGTGCGTGAGGCGACCACTTCAGCTCACTCTAACAGGGACACTTGCCATAGACTGTTTATCCCTGATAAAAGAAAAATGTTTCTGCTGATACCTGTTCATAAAAGACAGGAAAACAGATTCATATATGTTAACCTGTTGCTCAGAAGGTGCCTGTTATGTTGTTATGATTATGGCTCTGGACTCTTACTTGTTTTACCAAGCTAGATAAACGGTAATGCCCTGGCAGCGGCAAATAACTTTGGTTTCATATTTGATTTGATTACATTAATGTTTAAGTTGAGATATACAAGAAATGTTTTATTTCTACTGAATAAAGGGAATACTGCTGGTAAAAAGCACCTAATTTGTTTTTGCAATTGCAATTTTGAAGTGTTTGCAAACCACGTTAATGCACTTTTGTGTATATAGCAGTACTTTTAAATGAACAATGCGCAATGCACAACTTTAAAATTCTTTATTTAATTTTGCGCACACAACAATGTGATTATTCGCAGAAAATCATGCAATTAATCACGATTACAAATTTTAATCATTGCCCTGCACTACTGATAATATAAATATTTGAAGTGAAATCCAGCACCTTACTTCAAATTGAAAATAATCAGGAGTGACAACATTTTATTTCTCCTACAGGTTGTGGGCATCAGGATTGTCACACCAGCCCTGGGACCAGTGCACTGTAGCATGCTGCAATCAACAAGGAGAATGGACACAGAGCGAACGTTATAATCGTAAGAACTGGATCTGTGAGATAGAGATATTTAAAAAGTAGGATGAAACATTACAAAAACTTCAGACTTCTAGTACAGAGTGAGCAGCCTGTTTGGAGGTCACACACACATCTACATGTGAATTGTGTATCTGCAGCCCTACAGGGATATTAATAAAAGTAAATAAGACATTGACTCGGGAGGTTGTTATTAGTTTAGCTTGTAATAATTTAGATCAGTCTGTGATTTTTATGTGAAAATAATGCGACACAGGCTAGATGCATTCATGACACATACAATCCAAATCTGAATTTAAAAGAAGATCAGATAAAGTAAGATATTTCGTGGGTAATAAGATACCACATATATTTTTAGTAATATACTGTGTATTAAAAAATTCCAAGGAACACTTTGTTGTGTTCATGTTCTCTCACCACACAGATGGTTCAGTGGCTGCACCAATCAGGGACCAAATAAATGTCACAATAGCAAGTTTTGCTTTCTAAATGACTTATGTATGCAAGTAGGGCTGTCGCAATAACCGCAAAATTGACTTCAAACTCTGAAGCCACGCGTTGCTGCGGTATGTAAATTGACTTGATAGACAAGCCCTGAAGGTAATGATATAGCTACGTCTGAAAAAGACATGGTCAAACTACAAAAAGGAGTTTGCTTGGCAATGTTGTTGACTAGCACGCAGCAGCTAGCTTGCTGCTGTGCAGTGAGGTGACGAAAAATGCGATAATACCGCTCAACATGTCGAGACCTAACATGGAAATTACTTCACTGCGACAGCCCTATATGCAAGCTGAATCATAATCAGTCCATGTTTAAATAGCTGGAGACGTCCATACGTAACGACAGGTTGGAAATGGATCATTTCTCTCTCAATATTACTTGAGCCATT